GTGTGAGTGTAGGATTAGCTCCTCATATCGCCTACATCGCACACCCACACGCATACACACTCATTCCTTTTCTTTTAGTCAAACTTAGTTTATATTATGTTACAAGCTGATGCTGTTATCGGTAAAAGCCACTTCGTTTTGTTTTTTTCTCGAATCTTGTTCTGAAACAGTTTAGTCTTTCTAAAATACTGTTCTCAGTTCAATAGATTCGATGGATGCGGTCTTAACTTCTGTTTTATTTTCATACAAGAATATTCATTTCAATGACTCTCTCGAACAATGCTAGGAAAACAATAACACATATAGTGGAGACAACGGGCTACTTAATAAGAATCATATGAGTTATCCTAATGATGTGGTTATAATGTGATAAAGGAATAAATTGATCTTAAAATGGTAGACCAATCAATTGTAGACCCGTTCTATGCATACTTGGATAGGTCGACTTTTTCATACTTTCTTATTTCTAGCAGTAGCTAGTACAACTGGCAAGACAAAATGACGAAAGAACAATGCATTTATCACTGCTGTAGCATGATGCACTGGTTTCTTTGTTCAATTCACTTAAACTTGAAAATTCCTAAAAAAGTGTCGAAGTCATTCAGTAGCTTTGATATACCGAAATCGAAATTTTAAGTATAAGCGATATATTCGTGTTTTTTGTTATATGATTTTCACATCAAGCATATTACTTTCAATTTCGATACTATGAAATGTAAAGGAAAGTCCGGAGATCAAAATGAGAAAGATATAGGAAAAATTGTAGAGGTTCTTTTTGCTAACTCTAGTCGCTGTGAACCATGCTAGGTTTGAATTTGACTGATGCGGTGAATGTTACTGATGTGTCTGTGAAACGAACGATGTAATCAGTTTTGTTCTTCTATTCATACTAAATATTGTACTTAAATGTACTTTTGTCTTTCGAAAGACATTTCAGTTAGAGAAAAAGTTATCGTAAATCATTTCTAGCTTTCAAATACTATCACAGTCGATCAGCAAAAAGATAATAATTTTCTCTTGAATACTTCTCTGTTATGATGTCTAATGCGATATCCCTTGACGTTCAGTAGAGTATATTATGGTAAAAGCTTTCTTTTCTAGAACTGGAAATTTTTGTTATTTAGAAAGAGTATCAATCAAAAGTGTGATCAGTAGTCGATTATTATATTTCATGGCAAATTATTGTTTGTTTCTGTCGATACTCCCGACTGGCGTAGGCACTATCATATGCTTGTATAAAACGAATCCTCAGCAGATTCGTCTCGCCTTACGACCCACTGGCCTGACTATATCCTGGCCGACAGATGGGTATTTAGATATTGATGACACGCCAGCACCAGAAGTATTGTATGGCACCAGCTCGAATGCTCTCAGCAGTAAATCCTTAGTGGGCTTTACCACAACATATCATCCAATAGTGGGCTTTAAAAAATTCTCTCATAACGTTTACCTTGATGAACTGAAACCATTCACGAAATACTACTATCGTACTGCGGCTTCGACAAGATGTGCTCGTGAGTAAAGTATTCTGATGTTTATTACAGCACCGGCCGTTAATACCAGTATCCAGCAACCGATTAACATTACCACTGTTGGCGATTTAGGCTTGAACAATCTTTTCAATTGCTATCAAGCTGAGAAAACTATAGCAGCCCTGCAACAGTACGCTGATAAATCCAATTTTATCTTGCACATCGGAAATATTGCCTATGCTGACTTGTATGGACTCGTCGTCAATTTCAAGTTCTACGAAAATACATGGAATCAATTTCAACAGAAGATTGATCCAATTGCATCTAAAGTGCCTTACCAAGTACTCCCTGGAAAACATGAAGCCACATGCTTTCAAAATAGTGATGATGTATGCCCAGACCATCTTAAAAATTTTACTGCTTATCAAAATCGATTTTGCATGTCTGGAGAACTCAGCGGAGGCTACAAGAATATGTGGTATTCCTTTGATTATGGTCCTGTTCATGTGATCCTGTTGAATACAGAGACGGATTTTCCAAATGCTCAGTCTGGTCCTGGAACAGAACGCAATGCAGGCCAGTTCTTGGGCACTACCAGTCAAGTGGCATGGCTCGAAGCTGATCTTCAGAGAGCTGCTGATCCAGTGCATCGTGTCAAGGTTCCGTGGATCATTGTGGCCGGTCATCGACCCTTTTTCGGCAGCATTCCCGAACCTGTACTGAAAATCTGTACGTACATACATCATGCTCACACTGTTATAGTGTGTCACTACTGATATAAAGTTGAGAGAGAATTCACAAGTCTACACAAATCTAAAACAATGTGGTTAAATTTTATCTAATTCCGCATATATCCATTCTATAGATCCTACTGAGAAACCTGTATGACGAAAATTTTCAAAGAACAGATATCTTTTTTGACGAAACCATGACCTTTCATTTGAAAGATCGACTTTTTTTGGTTTCTCAGAACGAGATCACACTATTTTTCTATCGAGTTTCTGATCATTCGTTGATTTATTGTCCTGAATGATTCTTCATTCACAAGAACGTACAAAAAAGGGACATGATGCCGTACTGTTCACATTACAATCATAACATTTTGGATTTCATAAAAGCTCGAGTCAATGCCATCTTTAGAAAGTGGAACAATAAACATTCAAATGTTTATTGAATAGTTGACTGTTTGTTATTTTTCGAACAAAATATTGTTTGGATGTATCTTGTAGAGAATATAAGGTACGGGAAAATTTTTCAAAACTTTTGTAAACGATATATATTTGCAGTCATTTATGTAATTGCAAAAAATAAATAGCCATTTTAAAAAGTATTTAGAAGTATATTTATTGTATAAAAATAAAGCTTCTCACTCATGATATTAGAGAGATAGAAATGTGAGAATATCATTAAATATTTTTTAGAATCCTTTTTTTTATAATGTATGATGCAAAAGTAACAGCATACAATACCGATCTCTATTTCTCTTCAATAAAAGGGTACCAAACAAAAATTTTTTTAACCAAACGATAGAGCTTTTCATCTTCTTTTAACTCGTATAGTTGCAATTACTTTTTGACTGCAGATATATATATCGATTATAAAAGTTCTGAGAACTTGTTTCCGTACTTCATATCAGTGGATAATGCACATATGCTGCTTGCTTCAAATATGACATTGTAAGACTAGTATCATATTTTTTCTCTTTTATATGTCGTTGCTCCGTTTCTTTGATTGACGACGTATATGATGCTATCTGTTTAACGCATATTTACTCGTAGCTGTGCATCGGAGATGTGTTGGTATCAGTTTCATTCGGTATATGCTCGCATATTGATTGTTGTATAGTTGAACTGATAACTTTGAAGTTACATTATTTCTCAAACAGATTGTATTGAACCCATTCGATGTAACCGATTCTTATAGTTGGATTTGGGTTGGACTCCCGAGGCTTGAATGTTCTGCAATTGTTGTAATGTCTACTGTAGATGTGATATGTAAGTGCTCACGAAGACAGCCGAAATGATTTCTTAACTTTGATGAGCTCATCTCATCATTTGAAGTGAGACCAGAAGAAATAAGTGGCTAAAAGAGAGCGTGCACAACACTAAAGAACATGATGTCTGATCACCATTAGATAAAGGATAGATGGAAATACATATATTTGGGTAATGTCACTCATTATGCACGTTGCAATCGTCACGCTATATGAATGATCATCAATTTAGTATCAACACAGCGATTTTTACAACAATGATGAACCGTGTGCACAGCTGATATATTGATATGAAACCATATAATTATATTCCACTAAAGAATATTACTGATTTTTGGAGTACTATCCATCAGAACTCTTAGTAAAGCACACTTAGTCGTATGCTCACTAGCAAGCATAAAGGATCTCAACTAAACAATTTATGACTACAACCCACAATTATTCTAGAACTAATGAATTAAAAGCACCACATTATGATACATTTTCTATTTTAGTGGGACAACCAATTGCTCAGCCGCTACCGAATTGTGACGCGTGCCGGCTAGCATTTTGGTCTCTCCTAAACCAGTACGAAGTGGATTTCTATTTTGCTGGTCATATACACTGGATGGAACTTCTCTACCCTTTAGATAGAGGCGGAAACGTCGTAGCCAGAGATTTCATTACTGGCGATGGTGTTATTCATGTAACAGATGGAGCTGGCGCTGCCCCTTCAGGCTTTGAGACACCAAAAACAATTGATGTAGAATGACAAGCTTGGCTCTTTAGTGGATATGGGTTTCATCAATTGTTAATTCAAAACTCTTCCCATGCAACTTTGAATTTTATAGTCTCAGCAACAGTTACTATAATCAAGTCGTTCGATGTAATTCGTCGGCGTTGAATTAAAACGCAAAACTGATACTTATCGATGAAAGAAGTTAATGAACTGCTTTTTAGAACTTAAACTGAAAATCTACAGAAGTCTTCTACTCATGTGCTAATAATTAAGTTTAATCAGATATCTTTGGCTTCCCAGAAGCACTAAAGGAAAGCTTCTTGAATAATAACTCTATTCCGTACTTAAAATTCATTACAAGAGAGGCACGAACAACTATAGTTAATCGAAAAAATTCTGTAGTCAATTCTTACATTGCCTATTTTTTGCACAGCATCGCTTGTCAGTAATACCATGAAAATTTCACCTGATTAGAATCCACAATATATCACACAGAGCACTGTGCAAAGAATACTTTGTTAGTGTCAATTGTATTTTAAACAGATGAAGTGCATATTTAAGGATATGGGTGGGTATTGGTATCGAGTATATTCGAACCCATATTCACATAAAAAAATACTGATTATCAAATCAACTCTAGGTCAATTTCAGGAATACTGAGTCCGACTGGATCGGTGCATCTCTAAGTATGACTTAAATATTGTTTAGAATGAAGATTTAATTCAAATGAGAACCATTGTTAAGTACGAAAAAATTGCTTCCAGCTAATTGATGAACATTAACTCTATTCCAATGACAGATAAATAATTTGGAACATTTATTGATGTTGCTGAAGGCGTTGAAAAAGTTCTTTTGATAGTTTTAGTTCGGAATGATAGTGTGGCAATTTAATCGATTGAATATTTAAAGATTTTTGAACATAATCAAGTGCAATTTCATATTCAGCATGATCATTATGTATGAGACTAAGTTGATAATAAGTAGAAGCAAGCAAAGGATGATTTTTACCAAGCGATGAATATCGCATACGTAATGCCTCTTGAAATGATATCAATGCTTTTGTTTCGTTACCAAGAGCACGATATACTAAACCCATTGTATGCAAAGTCTGGGCATATCCTTGGTGATCAACAGGCATTTTTGTCTGAAAGAATTTCTCAGCACTATCGAGAGTGGAAAGTGCGAGGCCATATTGTTTGACTTTGAAATAAGCATGACCCAGACGATTCAAATGAAATGGAATTTCTGTATGATTTTCCGGCAATGAACTCTTTTGAAGCCTTAAAGCTTGAGTAAGTAATTTAAATGCTCGTTCTGAGTCTTCCAAGTGCGAATAGATAGTACCCATTCCACCCAAAATACGACAATAATCAAACATTCTCTCTGGTAACAGACGGCGAACGAGTAATCGTGCACATCGAAAACAATTGAGAGATTCCTCGAATTTCTCAATAAATCGATAAATGCGTCCTAAATAATAATAAATATTGAGTCGTTCCACATGATCGATGGGTAATGTTCTTAGTAAACGATAGAAATAGCTCATTGATTGACCAAAATCACTATCGGTGTCAGCTAAAGCATGACCGAACATGATAGTTGGATCGATTTGTTGGAGACGTTTAAGAGTATAGTTCTCGTGTTCATCATGGATTCGAACATTGTCCGAAGACGAACTCATTTGAATCAACCATATACATTTATCCTTATCAAAACATATTTCATTGATAATGAAGGTCGATCCAAAGTTAAAAATCATTTCGTTTTCATCTGGTATATCGCTTTGGTGACTGATATCTGCTACAACTGTATTTGTAGATGTTCTACGATCGACATCGATGATAAATAATACGAACTGTTGCCATGCATCTCGATTGTGACTTGACGATCTATCAGTCATGTGATCAATACCAATAAACATTTCTGCTATATAACGATCAGATGAACATGAAAGAAATCCATTAGTTGATACAAGACGACCAACTTGCAATTGTTCAAGTTCATCTCGATTAAGTTTTGCTCCACGATAAAGACGAATCGATGAAAACGACTGTGAATTGGAAACTTCTTCCAAACGATAGCATAAATCAATAATAAAATAACGAAATTTATACAGAGCCCAAATATTTTGACTACGTAAAGCTTTATTAACGAGATAAAATAAGAATCCAGGTTTCGTATACCAACGAATGGCGTCTTTTGATTCATATTTGCGTTCAAATTCATTGATTCGAGCTAATTGAACAGGATCATTTGAATAATAAGCTCGACATTCACTTAACATTTCATATTTTGCCTTAAAAGTATCTCGAGGCATATTCATCAATAGAACTAAATATATGATATAAATGATTTTGGATAAATACTTTCAAAGCACTGACCTTTAAAAACATGAGTCCAAACATATGTCGCCAAATCCTCTCGAACATCTTTCAAAGACTTTTCCTTTTGACAGAACGTTGTAAACAAACCATTATTCAATTTTTCTTCCTCAATTTCATCAATTCGTTTTTCTAATAGTTCGAACATTGATTCTTGAGTTCGAAAAACATGAATTTTATCACTTATTAAGCACAGATGATTATCTATCTCTCTATCAGAAAAAACAACAAACATGGTTTGAATAACACCAAATTGTTGAAATCGATGAATGATGCGTTGAGTTGATTCCAAAGGATAAGACACAATAATAACAATGACATACTCACGTGATCGAACTCGCTTCAAGTATTTAACACATCTCGATATCTTTGAATAACAAACAATAAAACACCGATCACTAAAAGTATGCAATTGAATTTGATTGTCATCACATGATGAACATGAGGTATTTTCAAGCCAAACCAAAGTAATACCAGATCGATTCTCTGGCAGTTGTCTCACTGGAATGTTACGAATCAATCTGAACTTATTAGATCGATTCATAAATGACACTCTGAATCGTAATTAGATGATATTGTAATTAGAATAAAGTATAAAACGAAAGAGTATACGATTGCAACGAAGAAATTGTTTTATTTTCAATTTCGTTTTACATTGTCGATGGGAAACGTTTTCATCTGTTCTTTATTATTTAACAAGTTATTCTTCTAATCATTTTGCACAAATTAAGTCGATACTTATCTACATTTAATCGTTATTCGATCAAAAAAAAGCAGAGAACAAACATTAATCATCAATTACAGAATATTTCTCTGTCTAATTTCATTCAATTCTTGATGACCAGAGAAAGACTCTTATCTATATCACGCATTAAGCTTTCATTTATCTTTCGGAGAAAGAAAGAACAACGTTCTTATCCTCGTACTTAGTACTAGTGAGTGTGAGTATCAAATATTTGTGTTGCATTTTCTCTGTTATGTTATTGTACATGAATGCAACCTTGAAACTGAAGTAAATCATGTGAAAATAACTGAAGAACGAATGATACTTGCAAAACAAGGCTTATTTATTTTTATTTATGGAAATTTAAATCGAACGATTATGCTAATAAATCAACAAATGAGACCTTGATGTGAGGCGATCAACACAGTTCTCTTCACTACAACGGCAAGACCAAGTCATCACTATTCATTTCTCAGTGGAATGCCTAAAAACATTTGTAAAGAGAAATAATTCTGCCATTTTCGATAGCAACAACATTTCGTTTTGTCACAAATGAAAGATCATTTAGCATGTCCTTTTGAAGCGTAATTAGTCATATTGGAAAAAAAGCAGATCATAAAATTTTATTAATTTTCAATATGATGTGTGTATGAGTATGACTGTATGTGTTGGGTGTTGGTATGATTGCTTACAAGATATACACCCACACCGGCATGCACCATAATTTGATCTTAGTGTGGGGTGTGGGTGTGAGTATGGGGGTATATGTCTATGAGTAGGGGTGTAGGTATGGATGAGGTATGTGAATAGTGTGGTGTTGTAGATCCTTTGTTAATGGAAACTCAAACCCCCACTTACTTAAACTCATCCACATCTAGCGACATCCACTCGTATCCACGCCTCGCCTACACTTACATCCACACTCACATCTTAACTTGCATTCACACCATCACACCCTATTTTCCAGTAAGTTGAGGATTGTTTCGTTAAAACAAAAAGTAAAATATTTTTTGAAGAGACAAGAAACTAAAGAAATACTTACTTGCTCCTATACACATTACTATCTGATTAGTTCAAGCATCGTTTATCTACTTTAGATTGAATGGTAGTATTTCAGAACAAACAACAAGAATACATACTGTTATACTACTATTTGTGAATTACTTCATTAAACTCTACGAGAAGCTGTGAGTAGGTGCGAGTGTGGTACGTGGATGTTCATTTTGTTTTAGATAACATAAATCTGTCACATCCACAGTATGAAACTTCTGAGATCTTTAAACAAGACTCATAAGGTTTGAACAATCATTTTGGACGTATCTTGGGTTTTCATGAAACTTGCAAAAAGATTTTGCTTTCGTTGCAAAAATACTTCCGTATGGTGCCCTTTTTCTCAGTTGAGTCCCACCAAATCTCACTCATGGTAAGACTATGAGCTCCAAAGCTTTTAATCAGTTGATGGGATTCCATAGTTAGAGCAGTATGATAAAAGAGAAGAAAAAGAAATCAAGGATACAAGATTCTTGGTTCTTTCACGGCTTGACAGGACTAGCACTTGTACAATAATTTATCGAGTAAAACTCAGTGCTGAAGTATTTTATTTTTCGAGATTATAGTTTTTTTTAAAATGACATGAAAGAAAATAAATATGAATGACATAAAGTTCTCTGTTTAGAAACGTTACAAGGACTATACGGCGACGATGCAATCAGTCGGAGTTGACTTGCGTACTTTTGACGCCGATGATGGTGATGTTCTCCAGAGGCATGGACAAGTTATATTGAGCCCGTGCGCTTGAAGCAGACTCATCTCGTTAAGGCATTGATCTTGGTTTTCGTCGTTGGCCGGCTAATAAGAAAAAAGATATTACAAACAGAGAAGTTGCAAAGTATTTGCTTAGGGGAAACGATTTCAACCGTCCAATCACCTTTGAGTTTTGACTTTGTGCATAAGGTGGACTTCATTGAGACATGAAAAACTCCAAAAGGATGAATCCCGTTTGGCCTTCTTTTCAGAGTGATAGGCATTTCGCTGCCATTTTAGCCTATGGCATAGTATATATCGACAAGTCAAATGACGGTATTTCGACTGGAGATTTCAGCCACAAACAAGTTTCACACATATCTCACGAAAGATGCTATAAGAATTTTCTTCTCTTTGAGATCATAATATCTTAGGAAAGGAACAATCTTTTAAGCTGAGATTTTCAGAAGGTTTTACACACAAGTAGACTTGTTTGTGGCTGAATTCTCAGGTTGAAATACCGTCCGTCATTCGACTTATTGATATATACTATGTCATAATCTAAAATTGCAACAAAATGCCTATAATTCTGAACAGAAGGCCGAATGAGATTTATCCTCGTGGAATTTTTCATGCCTCAATGAAGTCTACCTTGTGCATAAAGTCGGAACTCAAAGATGATTTGGCAGTTGGAAACGCTTCCTAGTTAGTACGATTTTGTAACTTTTGAAAGTTAACTTACATTGCCAGACCAGAATGGCTCATGATCGATGAAGCGACCGAAAGTGGCTTGGCAGAAATTACGATAAAGGCGTGTGTTGAGAACGTGCAAATGATAATAAGCATCGAGTTTTCGAGGTGGACCGCACAGGAAAAGGCCATCGCGTAGGCCTGTGTAGTAGTTTTCGAGCTCATAGATGGCTTTGTTCGCTTCAATTTCAGTATGATCATGATGTTCCTGCATGATCAACTCTTTCATGTACTGTCTATCAGCATCAGGCAAGGTGACCCGCTCGATAGCAGTTGCAAGGCCAAACATGCAGAGAAGAAATATTCGACAAAGCTGCATTGTAACTCTCACGTTGTCGTCTTAAATAAGAAGTAATCAAATCTTGCACAAACAGAGCAGAACTAAGTGAGAAAAAGCATTTAATCACACAAAAATAAAAGCTCAGTTTCGTTGTTGGCAAGAGTCCGTTTTATATAACAAGAGAGCATAACTGATCAAACAGAGATTGAATTATTTCATAGTGCGAAGATAGATTTATTCAAGAAGAAACATACAATTACTCATGGGGATCTTGTGTCGGTTCCCAGGTGCAACAAAGCAAAGAAATCGAACAGCCTCAAGTAGAGTACACCTAGGAATTCAATAGAAGACAACCAGAAGACTTGTATCGAATTCAAAATTTGTGAATTAGATTCGTTTGTCAATTAGAAGTTAAAGAAGTACGTTTACACTTGCATTTTCTCGCTAAGGGTGGATGTGGATGTGTCTGGTTGGGCTCTAGTGAAGAAAAAATGATTTACATCGGCACATACACCCCCACCCTCAAGGCTTTCATATATATATGTATATATATATAACGAAGAAAAGACTAGTTTTATCCAAAAGTAATATCATAACTGTTGAGGAATGCTCTTATATACTTTGTTAAATATGCAGAAGTTCTACTAAAACTGTAATTATATAAAATGAACACTTTTTCTATAAGAAAAATGTCTTCAAATGCACAATCAACTTCGAACGCAAGGACAGTATGCGATGGAGGGTATAGTTCAAAAACAATAAGAAGTGTCGCCAATGTTTTCAGAAAAAGAATTATATTTTTGAGCTCTCCTTACTAATTAAAAGAAAAATTATTGCTTCTTTTTGTTTCTTTACGACCAAGTAGTATGCACTAGTTACACTTTATGTAACTTATACATTACATGCAGCTACCGGAGAAAATTAATTCTCGATACTGCCAACTAAATTGTAAATATCACTAAACAATGATCGTATAGTCGTCATTGTTTCAATGATATTCCAAGAAGTACTGTTGATTTTTTCTTTTTGTGTAGAACTCAGATTGATTTTCAACTGTCAGCAAAACTCATTGTTGATCTTTCAATTTGTTCCGAAATAATTTTTTTCAAAAAATCGAATCGAAATGCTACTCTTAAATAATCAATCATTTTCTGCCAATTATAAAATCATTTGATTATTAATAATGATCTGAAAATGTTTCAACTGTTGCTAACTCAGTTTTCAAGAACATACCATAACTTATTTAAAATTTATTGTAAAATAATAAAAGAAATAGGAAATCAATTTTTTGAATAGTATGGGATTGTTAAAAATTGCTTGATTATCTTATGAAACACGGCTTAAATACGTTTGCAATAAAGTATACTTACGTATTAAATGATATCGAAATGTATGAATTATGCTTTATGTGTATTCGAAACTGACTGAGCTACTTATATATTTATCGATGACGACATTGCTTGTTTTTTTCGAAAGTATTAATCATTTATGCATTAATGAAGCATGACATTTTCATAAGCTACTTAATTAGTTTCGTAAAGATATATTCGTTATTGCACGTAGTCATTTTTTTCCAGCATATTTTTTTTTCCTTCCTTTTTATGACGCATCGCTATATTTAGAAAATGTACATCGATATGCACTCATTGCAGCATATTCAAGTGAGATGTCGAAACTATTTTATCATAGAGAAAAAAGCCAACCAATAGGATTTTGATCAAGAGAACAAGATCGAAAATGAAATTGTTTTTATTAAACTGATTTTTTTATTAAAAAATCCAGACTAGACACTTGATTTTTCTAGATTTTTTTGTGTTAAATATAAATTGAAAAACAAAATAAGTATAATCAAAAACTGCAGGGTAATTAAAATAATATCAAACAACGAAACTATCACTTTTTTATAGTTATTATGGTATACTTGATCATCTGAATGTACGAATTGTCTTCTTTTAAGAACCAAGTTCTACCTGAAGAGTTAAATTATAAGAACATATTTAAAACCAAGACACAAACAAACATTGAAAAGCATGCCTCGTTATAATACATGTTTTCTTTTTATCTTTTTTGGATCAAATTGAATTTTTTTTTAAATATAAAATTGACAAAGAAACTTTTTGAAAAAAATCAACTCTTTTTTTTCGCTTTTGATCCCTAATAGGGTGTAGGTATTGAGAAAGAATATATCCACATACACGCCCACTAGACCTACGACAGTTTCCTTTCAGTTCTGGTCTTGAGAACTATTTCAACAGTTTTTTCATAGGAGCTGATCTATATAGCAGTTATTTTAAGTAAGTTGACGCCATTAGACTTCTCATTTTAACCTTATCATTAGATTTATAATTGCTTCATTCTGCACCATACTTGTGAGCTGCACAAATTTACTGAAATGAAGCTAACGAAAACCTAACGCTAGAATAGAAGGACTCAATTTTCAAAAAATAAACTATTCACTAGACTCCATTTTAGAAAATAGAAATGTTCCGAGACACAATTTCCGAACAAACAACTGTTTCTTCAGCACAGTTCTCAAAAAAGAATCGGTTCACTGAACTGGATGCTGTCGTAAGTCTAACACTCATACTCGACTTTTTCAAGAGTCGATGTCCCTCAGAAGCGAGCAAATATATCGATCTGCAAATGACAAAATGCTTTCGTATCCTATTTTTGATGGACACTCCCATGAGTAGTCAATCGCAAAAAAAAAGCACAAGATTCTTAGAAGATTTTTTCGTCTATAGAACTTTCTATAGTTCTTTGCGCTGATAATTTTGATAAAAAAAAAAGTATTCAAATTTTCTCAATGAACTCTAGTCCTATGACCAAAATTCCCAAAGAGTTCAGTTATTTCCTAATTGCTGATGGACGATGATTGACGTCATCGAGTATTAGGACCCTAGCATATCATGATTAATTGAGTAAATTTAAATATTTTTTAATCAAAATGATCGACTCTAACAAGTTCTATCTCCAAAAATAAAATCTTCTGAGAATCTTCTGTTTCTTTTTTTTCGATTGACAATCCACAGAAGTATTTATCAAAAATATGATTCGCACACATTTGTCATTGGTAGTGTATTTAAAATTTTCAATCACTTCCAATGCTAATCGTATACTTTCCATGTACTATTTTTATAATATTTATCTTATTGACGTGTTCATATACTAAACTTCTATAACTTCATACATTGGTCATCGATACCGAAAATTGATGATTGTAGAAATGTTTTACATTATGATTTCTCTTACGTTCTATATTAGCTTTTATGATAATATATATATATCATTAAGGTGTGAATGAAAAGAAGATTCACAATGACACGCTAAGAAATTGTTAATCGATCGAAATTCTCTTTTATCAAATAAGCTTTATAAATTATTTGTCATATGAATAACACTTACATCATTAGAATTATATATTTGTCAATGGAACTAATACGTATGTAATATTAAAAATTAAAAAAAAAATAATCACATAGATTATTTATTGGTGACATTTATGTTGTTTTATTTCCGAAGGTAAATTATCCTCAAAATATAAAGAAAGAAATAAACACGTTTTTATTTGACAAATAAAAAAATGTTCTATTACGTCGCTAGTTTTTCATAGCTCTTATACAATGATATTAGAATTATTATCTAATGAAATATTAGTTCGATATATTCAAATTCGTTGATACCTATCATAAATGTCATTATATATCGTAATATAAATCATATTTTCAAAATTGATAAATCGTCAGCTGAAAGCCTAAGAATTTTTGTAAATAATTAACTTTTTACAAAAACAAAAATAGTATTTCGTATCTTCACTAGTTAAATAAATACTGAGATCAAGGTCAAAATGTAAAACATCAATCATTTGTATGTTATTACGCCGCTATATAGATGATGACATTGAAATATTTACCAAACACTAAAACAAATCTATTTTGTCAACTTGAATAATTTTACATTGGAAATAGTCGACATAGAGATTTGAATAAATAAGAATTAGAAAAAAAAAATATTACTGATCATATATTCAATATTTTACTGAAAAATATTAATAGCATTGTAGATATTTTAATTATTATCGATTTTTCGCTCAAGATTTATGTTTTTTTTTTAATTTGGGTATAAGACTTTATAATTAATAAAATTCTATATGTATATTATATAATGTTCATGATTTTTCTTTTCAAATCAATAGCAGAATAGAAAAACTTTTTACATTTCATAAGCAAACTAAACTAGTTCGAACAATTATTCTTTCTCTTTGTGTATAAGACAATTGTTGTTGAACTAGAAAAGAACGATTGGAATACTACGTGTATATGTGATCTCATTTTTTTTTTCATGTGACATTAAATAAACTTAATATTCTACTCTATCGGATAAATGACTAATCAATAATAAACATCATTCTCTTTTTTTGCCACTCATTCTTCAAAATCATTACTCAATAAACATGTATGAACATTCAAATCATATATCAAATAATGATCATTTTCAAGAGCATTCAAAAGAATCTCCTTCATTAATTAATCAAATAGATTTTATTTCTAATCAACCTACTAATTTATCATTAACACAACAATCTTGTTTTACAATTCTTAATGAATGGTTTAGAAATATTTATCGACGAGTAAAAAGGTTCGATAATAGAAATAATCAACAAATTGAAATTAATATTAATAAATCTAGACAAGATATTCAACAACAAAATCTTTTTCCTTTTCAATATCCATATCGATCTATTAAAATAAAAGATAAAAGTTCTGTATCTATAGCTTGTAATAATAAATATATTATATTAAAACAAAAACCTAATTTATGTTTATTTGATAAACAATTAACTATTATTAAAGAAATACCATGGATTTATTCTGATGTTCATATTTGTTGGTCATCTATACTCGATAAATTTATTCTTATTACAGAAAAAATTATTTTTACTTTTGATGATAATACAATGATACTTGATCAATGTCAAATTAATCCTATTGATAATAAAGAATGGTCATTTGGATCATGTTCAAATACGTCTTTATATTTATCAACTAGTGATATGTCTACATCTCTCTATGAATATACACTTCGACCAATAATTAAATTTATTAAAGAATGGCAATTATTAACTTTAAACTCAAAATATGAAGGTATTCTTACATTTACATGTACAAATGAAAAAATTGCTCTTATTATTACGAATATTCATGTTTTTCAAAGACGTTTTGAATTACGTTCAACAATAACATTCGAACTTTTATGGTCTATTCCACTTAATGTAGTTGCTCATTGTTGTTCAATAAATAATAATCAATGGTTAATTATGGAATTATTACAACCTCGTCTTTTACATTTATCATCTGATGGAAAAATATTACAAGAATACAAAATCAAAACACCATCATTAAATATTATATGGAATGCAATTCAATTCGATAAAGATACTATTGTTACATTAACTATGAATAGTCTTAATCTTCATAAACTTTTATAAATATAATTCATGTTTATTTTATATATAGAAGTGTAAGCCATCCAACTGCGTCGTCGCCGCCGCCATTGACATCGATACATAAGCGATCGATCATTTTTCTGCCTTTTAGGAGCAAAAACGTTTTGTTTTAGTTGTCAAAGCCGCCGCCGCCAGTGTAGAAGTGCATAGAGTTTAGTACGCGCCGCCGCCGTTTGACCCATCGGCTTACACCTCTATTTATATATATATATAATTACAATAGAATAACGACGAATTTTCTACTGAATGTGTTGATCAATATTAAAAATTATAAAAAAAAACGTAGTATTTATTGATTAAGTTCATATATATTAGAAACAAAAAAAGTATCTTGATTATGATTAAGATTTATTATTAAAGTTTTTTATAATTCATAAAATGATAATTCGAAAGAATCAAATTCTTTGCCATATGTTGTATTATTCTATTCATAGGAAAAGAAAAAAAAAAAAAAAACCATGATTGATTATTATTATTAAATAGCTGATTAAAAAAAAAAACAAAAAGGATGTCTTACACATATTGAACCAATTTGTTTGAAAATATATTCTGCATGAATAAAAGACTTATATCTAATAGGACATTCTAATTGTTTGAATTGTGTAAAATTTTTTTTAAGATTGTTTTCATCTTTCGATAAATAAATAAATTCATTTTTATAAATTGAATTAAATAAAACTTGAAAACTACTAGCAAATGTAGTTAAATGTGTAGAGAAACATTGTGTTTTATAATGATCTGTTAATGGTCCAACCTAGTTAATACATTAGAATAATTGAAAAAAATATTTGCAATAAAAAAACATAATATAAGTGTAATCATACCCATAAACCATCTGATTGCCAATTATTATTTTTATCAAGATAATAACAACCAGATGTATAAGTACGTAATTCATAATTAGATGTAAAATTAAAAGGTTCATCAAATATAAGTAAACTATTGATTGATTTTTTTATACAGAAATTTTCTATTTCTGTTGAATTAAATTCTCGTAAACCAAATATAATTAATTTATGATTTGATATTTGTCGATTATCAATAAAATATTTATAAATACCTTCTTTTGTTAAATCTATTAAAAAAAAAGATAAATTTGCTTTGTTTTTCTTTTTTTTTTTTCAAACGAGAATAAATATACTTACTCGATGGACAGAATAATAACCATTTATCAATATCAATTTTTGAACTATTCATATAAGGTATACCATCAAATTTATAAATAAATATATAACCAATATTAATATCAAATGGTCGTATTTCAAAATGTAAAGATATAGTTAAATTTTTATTAATTATTGTTTCATTTATATGAATAATATTTAAATAAAATGATTCTGTACTATTTATTAAAGTAACATTTTGTAAAAACATTTTTGGTAATATAAAATTTGAATCACGAAAAATAAAAAATTCAATTGGTTGTTTATTATTCGTATATATAAAAATTTCATTTTCAAATTGATCAAATAAAGATAATGATATAGCTGTTGACATATTTGTATTTGTTGATATTTGAAAATTAGCATCAGCTGGAGCTAATGAATGTATTGTTGACTAAAATAAAATAATGTAGATATTAATTTTTAGATTATATAATTAATTCTACTCGAAATATAATAGTAGTATTTTTTAATAAATTTGTTTGAATATTAGATGGAATATAAATTTGTTCAAATGATTTATTTAATAAAGATTCAATTGTTGTAGTTTCTATATCAACTAATAATGATGATGATTTCATTGTTATTTTTTGTCCAATATTTAAATGAATTTTTAATATTGAAGTAATTAATAAAATAGTTTCATTTGCTAATTTACTAATTTCATTTGCCTATTAATATTAAAATTTTAAATAAAAAATAACAAATAAATACTATAAATTTACTGTCTTCTGTTGATAATAATGTATTCGAGTTGTTTGTACTGTTTCTTTTGAAAAATCATTATCTATATATATATATATAAATTTAATCAATAAGTATTTGTTATCATAATAAACAAAGCTGTTAGTACAATTTTTATGAAACTAAAAGTGTGACTACTAAATGCTAATTTTGCAGAGAAATTATTTAATTTTTTTTGGATATTTTGAGAAACATATCTTTATTTTCATTTTATTTAAAATTCTTCCATACATTTAATAAACATACAGTCTGTAATCGTATATTAACAATATCTATTGCGATCTGTGGGAGGGGATAACGTACAAAGATTGTATTTCAAAAACAACAATTTTACTTAGATTTAACAAAATAAGTTCGGGATCATCATCATAATCATTAAATATATTATTTTGTTGAATCGAATTAGTATTAAGAAAAAATCCTCGTTGTTGTAATGGTGCATTAATAGCCTAAAAAATGAAGATATTTATTTATTTTTTTTTTATATCGAAATAATATTCTTACAGTTAAAACATTATTAATACAATAAGAAATTTGTGTAGCTGCATATTTTGCATCTTCATAGGAAACTCTCATAGAAATTGCTTTAAGTCTACAAGCAAGTTGATAACATTTTTGTGATGCAAGTATCTTATTAAAATAAATAAATATATGTATAATTTAATAGAAGCAAAAAAAAAAGATAGATTAGTTACAGATGTTGTTCTTGTGAGTTCATTTATCGATTCAGTTAATTGTACAAGATTACTTGCTTGTAATTTAATACTATCAATAGTCGTTATGGCAAGATTAGTAGTTACTTTCATAAGATAATCGCGTGTTTTTGCTAACATATTTAATTTATTAGTATATTCATTAACCATTGAACTATTTGTTTGTTTATATGTCTATTCAAATAATAACGTTAACATCATAAAACAAAAAAATTCATAATTTATACCTCAGATCGTTTTTGACTACCTAAAGGTGATATTGAAATTTTTTCAGCAGGAATACCATCTACATAAAAAAAAATAAATAAATATTTTAATATCTATAAAACAAAAACAAAAAAAACAAAGATAATCTATGATATATTTACTTTTAATAGCTATTTCCAATTCATGTTTATTTCTTTTATTTAATTCTTGTGAAACTATAGTAACTGTTTGTATAACAATATTTTGATTACCACTAGCAAGAGCTTGTCTAATAGGATCATTAGTTTTTTTATTATCAATATTTTGTATAATATTAATAAATGTATTGATTGATATTTCATCCAAAATAACAACAATAGGTTCTTCAATATGAAATTCTTTTACACAATTGAGTGTATCTCGAATATGAACTGTTATATTAAGTGATGATGAATTATTATCACCAGCAGGTAATTTTATATCTAATGTTGATATTGTTGTGAAAGCAAGCATTACTAATTCTGAAGATTTTTCAGACCAAACTATAATTGAAAATGAACAAATATTTTTAGTCTATCCTTTAATGTATATATATATAAATTCTTACGATAAAATGAATAATCTTGAATACCATCTTCATCAAACCAATCAGTACAATTAATTGTAAATAAAGTATTGGTTGTACCATTTTCAGGATCAATTGAACAAGTACCATTTTCAGGTGGTTGATTAATAATAAAATCTAATGCACTTGAACTTGTTTCAGTATAAAATGTATAAACAACTTCAAAACGCCAAAATTCTATATTTGAATTATTAATAAATAATGTTTTTATAGCAGTAAAATTAGTTGTATTTAGTCCTTGAAAAGATATTTTATTGAAAAAAAAATGTTTTTTTTAATCAAATATATTTTTTACCAAGAAAATGAAGATTTTGAGACGAATCTGTATGATTAAAACGAGTCCATTCTACAACAGTAGTCAATGAATCATTTGAACCTTGATAGATATTCCATTGAATATTTGATATTGCTCTATAATGACCAGTACAAACAGAAAATAGAGCAACTTGTGTACTTGGATTAATATATTGATAATCAAGATTTGGTGAACACATTGTTGAAATAACACAACTATATATTTTAATATATATATGTCTAAAATTATAGACTATCAAAAAAATGATAACTTACGCAACAGCAATGATTGAAGTACGAGTATTGTCAACTCTTACAAGTAAATAACCTGTAGCTTGAGATGTCATGTTTCGACGATTAATCATAAAAACACTAAATTGATATGTACGATCATATTTTAATGATTTAGCTGGAATTGTTACTGATGATTGAGAATCATCCGTAGAATTGTATCGCCATGCTAGCATATTATCTAAACAAAAAAAAAGAAACAAATTCATCACTTAATAATATAAATTAAATGCTTATGTGTATACCAGCTCGATTTGAAAAACATGAACTAGTGTTCTCATAAATATAAGAATCTCTTCCCATATGTGTTGAATTATAAAGTCTACACCTATAGCGATAGGTCCAATCCTGAAATTGTTATTTTAAGATAAAAAAACAAAAAAATCTTAGAATAATAAGAATATCAATACTTACACTAGCATTGAACATAGTCTCATCAGGATTGATCGAATGTTTACCAGGATCAAGTATAAGGTTTTCTTCATAACTGCTTGTAATGAGAGATGTACCAAATTTGACAAGATTTGCAGTAATACCTGATGGATTGATTTTAACAAAAGCAGACTGAGATGAAAACAGATTAGATAAAGCTTGCATGGTTACAGTTAGTTTTAATTCATAAACACCGTAAGATAAAGTTCTTGCTGGAATAAATAATTCATTTAGAGTTAAGTTTATTGATGGATCAATGGTTGCTTGAACAGTACAGTTTGGTGTACAATTAAAAATTGACCATTTTGCTTCAATTTCAAGTGATTCAGCACAATTTAATGTAAGCGTTGCACTGATATAGAAATCTTGACTTCGCCGAAATTGTAACGGAATTTCTAACGATGAGGGAGTCGGAAATAGTGTCATCGTAGGTCGAAAACAAGCTAATATAGAATACATTTGAAGAAGTCTCAAGTACATTCATCAATATGAACAAATCATTACTTTCTTCAATGATGGAAGTCGTAGTAGACCGTGTTGTTGATTTAACAGTAGTTGTTTGTATTGTACTTTGTACTGAATAGAATGAATCATTTTTTATATTACATGAAAGAGCACTACTCACTATATTGACTGGTAGTTTCTTCCTTGCTGATTTCGGTCGATGTTTCTTCCTGTGATACGTTCGTTTCATCTTAAAATATCAAAATAATACAAAGTTATCTTAGGATTTCAATCCAAAAATTTTTCTTATTGGCTCTTTATTGTATGTACAGTAAAATTTATTAAAGTCTAAATCCATCTTTCATTTTAGACACAAGTCAAATTAAAAGACGTCGTCATTTTTAAACCGTTTCAGCACTTTAAAACCTGTAGAATGTATTTGAAACTTTATGATATAACACTTACTACAATAGTTGCTTGATAAAACAAACTTCTGAATACCATTGATGTATTGATTTGTAATAAATATGTTCCCATAGCTATCAAATGCAGCAGCTAAAGGCTGACATACTTCATCAAGCTCTGAGCACCATGACTTTGAACAACCAATTAAACATTGAAATCCATTAGCTCTTACTCGAACGATACGTTGATTACCACTATCG